TGGCAATTGGCTCGATCAGTTGCAGGTCATTGGAAAGCATTGAGTTCAAGCTTGAATCTACATGCAGAGCTCACTACGAAAGCGCATCAGGTTCCCAATGCTCCTCTATGAGGATCATTGGAATGGACCATTGCTGGAGGAAGACATGCCTCCTCTATGACACAGCGGGAGAAGGAAAGGTGAGCAGTGTGGAGTATGGAATGTTAATATTTATTATATACATATACATTCTAGATGAAAAATACTATACTTTGCAGACTCATGACATTGTACAAATGTTGATTCAGCAACCAAATGGTTAAGGTTTAAGTTAAGGATAAAGTTACATGCTTAGGACAAATCCATTGTCTCCTCTATTGAAGGACCAAAACCAACAATCAATGCAAAGGGAGTCTCCGTGCTGAGAAAAGATAAATAAAAAACTTTATTGCAATTTTTTTTTTTTTGTGTGGGGACACTAAGCTAAATAGGGAGAGGGACACTATAGCTTGTATTCCTAAATAGCAGTTTAGTGTTCCTTTAATGCAGGGTCCTCCAAATTCTGGCACTTTAGGTGTTGCTAAACATCAACTCCCATGATTCTTTGAATGAAATAGATAGCCAGAGAATCAAGGGAGTTGTAGTTCAGCAACATCTGGAGGGCCAGAGTTTGGAGAACCCTGCTCTAATTGAATAAGTGTGTTAGGGGTCTATATTGTTCATGATTTTTGCGATTGCATGCACCTTGGCTTTTTTACCTTTAACATTTAACTATTTCAGTGTTTATACATAAAATATTAATTGTTTGCACTTTTTATGGTTGCTGTTGAACATCAGGTCATATTATTTTTATTTATAAAAATGTATATGTGGTTTCTGTTGTGTTATCTAGAATTAGATAACCCTCAATTGGAAATGGGCAGGCAACCACTAGGCAGCAATTTATTTTTCAGAGGTTTTAGGCAACCATATAACATACATAAAATAAAAAAGCCAAACCTAGCCATATCACATCTGCATGATATAATCAAAATTAAAAAAATAAAGCAATACACACAAGAGAAATGAGGAGCCACAAAAGTACCAAAACAATAACAAAAGCAGACAGAACATGCAGTAGTAAGAAGTGAGAAACATCATAAAGAGCAAAATCATCAGTCATGACACCATGGTACACCACTACTCACTCTAGGAATTATGGGATATCTTGTGGATAATTTGGCAGTATGCATTCCAAGACACCGAAGGAAGGCGGAAGAAATCTTTAGATAAATGTAATACAATATATTTGAATTTATATATTTACCAATGGTTCTTCTTTAACAAAGCAGGCTTGGTGTATAGATCCTGATCCTGCTCCTGCAGTCGCTCTGCTCAGTTCTCTGCCATTTAGGATTTAGATCAATCTGTTTATGTAGCCCTAGCCATACCACATTTGGCTGTGGCTTACACAGCCTCCACAAAAAAAAAGATAAACGGATGTCAGGAATAACAGGTTGAATGTCCTTGATATACCATTATGAATTTATGTACAAAAAAAGTCTACATGAAACATTGCAATGATGGGTGGGATTTGGAGGTAGTAACTAGAACCCTTTCATGTATCCAGTGGTAGCTAGTGAAGTTTTATGATGGTGTGATGCCAGATTCCTCCCCCAGAATTTTACTTCTCTCTATACAGCACAGAGATACTCATAAAATACAGAGAGCTGAGCATTATACATATATAGTAAAACAAGCTGGACATAACATAAACAGGAATTTATTGAGAAGAACACTGTTATCAGTAAACATCAGCATGGCTTTATGAAACATAGGTAATGTCAAACTAACTTAATTTAATTCTAAGAAGAGGTAAGTAGATGTATAGATCAAAGCGTTGCAGTAGATGTGATCTACTTGAATTTTGCCAAGGCATTTGATACGGTTCAAACTCAATGAAATTGGTCTAGATGAAAATTTGTGTTCCTGGGTATAACAGTAGCTTAAAAATAGAGTACAGAGAGTTGTCATTAATGGTACATTTTCAAGCTGGACAAAAGTGGTAAGTGGTATCCCGCAAGGCTCTGTTCTGGGACCGCTACTATTTCACATATTTATAAATGATCTTGAAATAAGCATTGATAGTCATGTTTCAGTGTTTGCAAATGATACAAAACTCTGTAAAGTAATACACTGTGAGCAAGATATTACTTTGCTGCAGAGGGATTTAGATAAATTGGGAGACTGGGTGCTCAAATCACAGTTACAATTTAATGTAGTAAAATGCACTTCGGGTTAAAGAATTCACAAGCAACTTATACCCGAAATGGTAGTGAACTAGGAATAAACAACACACAAGAAGGATTTGGGATTTGTTGTAGACAAAAAACTAGGCAACGATGTGCAATGTCATTGTCAGCAGTGGCTAAAGCCAGTAAGGTATTGTCAAGAATGAATCAGGAAATTAATTCTGGGGATGATAATATAATTTTGCTTCTTTATAAATCACTGGTAAGACTACATCTTAAATATGCTGTGTAGTTTTGGAAACATGTTCTAAAGAAGGATATTGTGGCACTAGAAAAAGTGCAGAGGCGGGCTACAAAATTGGAACATTTTAGTTATGAAGAAAGTGTAGTTTGGAAACACGAATCCTCAGAGCGGATATGATAACATTATACAAATGTATCCGGCGGAAATACAAACCATTGTCTGGAAATTTTTCCATAACCAGGACTATACATAGGACAAGAGGTCATGCATTTAGATTTGGAGAAAGGGGATTTAGTCAAAGGCAAAGGAAAACATTTTTTTTACAGTAAAAACAAGGATGTTGAATTGTCTGCCTGAACAAGTTGTTTTATTAGAGTCTGTACAGATGTTTAAACAGCAACTAGATGCATACTTGCAAAAACATAATATTCAATTTTAAATTGTGAGGTAATAGCTTCTTGATCCAGGGATAAATCTGACTGCCTTTCTGGGGTCAAGAGGATTTTATTTCTAGTTTGTTGCAGAATTGGAAGTGCTTCAAACGTTTTTTTTTTTGCCTTCTTTTGGATCAACAGAAAAAAACTGATGTGAGGAAGGCTAAACTTGATGAACACATGTCTCTTTTCATCATGTAACCATGTAAAATACAGAGATAATATTTCAACAAACAGAACTGAGAAAAAAAACTGAGATATAATACAAAGATATCTGTACAATACACAGAGCTAGATAGATTACAGAGATACCCTTACAACAGGCAGAGCTGAGTACAAAGCAGAGAAAGAACACACTAAGCGGGGCACAATGAAAAGAAAGCCATCTATCCCACACAGCCAGGATCGCGGCCATGGTTTACACAGAGCTGCAATATAGAGATCCTCACCCAGTGCATGTCTCTGCAAAATGCTCCAGCTCTCTCTCACTATCTCCCTAGCCACCTCTTAGCTCTTCATTACATGATATCATCTTGAATAGTGCACCTTCCACAATAACTAATAATTACATATTGCTGCTGTTATGAAACATATCAACTACTCCATTACCTCTCAGCACATAGTGTGCACAAGGTTAAAGCATCAAGATACTTATATATGCTAATCCTTATTACCTTTGCAGCTGTAGAGTGAGCTCCCCTCCAGAAAAAGAATATTAGTGTTTTGAAACTACCTTAATTGGTTTTTTTTCCAACCCACTTAAAAACTATTGGGACTCTGAGTTAAGTGCCTCTATGGACAAGCCTCCACTTCATGTATCTTAAGTTAGATCAATTATCACTTTTAAATCGCTTTTGTATATGAGAAAATATTTTTTTTTTACAAATGAAACTTTAACATCTTGATATTTCCTTTAAAATATCAAATGTGAGAGTCAAGTGTGTTGTAGGGAATATCTATGAATGTCTATAATAAATCTTATTTCCTGCCTTTTAGATGAATGGGAACAGAATGAACACATCTCCGACCAAGATGAATACGTGGGACAAAAGTAGCAACTCAGCCAATCGGATTGATTTGTCTGCAGTCTGACCAGAAAATTATTCAACAGTCCTCAGTAAAAGTCTCTGGACACTTAATGGAAACATGTTTGGCAGAATATCTCACACTCACTGGTCCCATTGAGTGTGAGATGTTGTTTGCTACCAGGGGCCATATTCATGCATTCAAAGCCACAATGTTCATGCATAGGAATTATTTTGTGATCCTAGTCTAAAACATAATTGTTTTTTTTGTCAACAAAATGTATCACCACAGCAACACAACTCTCTATATGGTTTAGTTCTAACAATAAGTGCCAAGACACTCTGGAAATCAATTTAAACTGAAAAGAAAAATAAATGTTGTACTTTGTATTACACAACTTTGTAAAACCAATCATCGCAGAATTACTTTCATTAACTTCTTGGACTTTTACGAAAGATAACTTTCTGCTTTCCTTGACAAATCCTCCACACACATAACAGTACTTGGATGGATTCTGTAATGAATTACAGCCATCTGAGCTCTGCTGAATATCCCATTCATCCGTTTATACTCTGAAACCCTGAAACCCTCTCTGGTAGAGAGGTAAAGCAATGAGAGATCCTGATGCATAAATAGGTATTTTAGTTTTTTTTTTTTTTTCTGTAAGAACTGTGAATAAACTGGCACTATGACAGACACCATTATCCATTTTTGATTTACCCTTTCCGGAGGACTGGGTGCATTGTAGAGACACAATAGCTCTTATCTGCTGTGTGCATTCTGAACCAGAGATATAACTAAGATATAAAGGGGATGGTAACATGACCATACATTGAAAAAAAATGTTTAAACCTAGGAAAGAAAATATTTGTTCGCTTTATAAAAGTGAACTGCAGCAGACCAAAATAAAGATTAGACTAAATAAACACAAGTGTGTAGTTTTTGTTGTCGATTTCCTTATTTATGTTATATTTACTAAAACTAAGACTATGGTTTCAATTGGCTAATAATACTATATATATATATATCAGTCTATCTATATATATATATATATATATATATATATATATAAAATACAAAAAATAGGAGGAATCTGGCACTCTACCTTAAATGTAGTGAAAATTCCATAGACCACGGTGCTGCATGGCATGTAATATAATAGAAATGAACGAAGAGAGAGCACTCAATGGATTTTTCAAAGTTGTATTTGTGTTATATTAAAACGATCATTATTTCGAACCAGGAGGTCTTTATCATTATTTTTATTTTTCGTTTTTTTATTTTCTGTTTAACTATTAAGGGATATTATCCATACTCACGTGCATGAGTCCTTTTGTATGTATTTCTTAACATTGTTTAACAATTTCTTCTAAGCATAGGTGGACAGCACATGTATTCCATTACATATTCTCGCTCTTAGATTAAATTATGGTCAAATACATTGTATAACTTTCATATATTTTTTCTAGTTTAAATTTAACATAAGATTTTTTCATGTACACAAATCTAGACTATGTTTCTTCCCTGCTTGATTGGTCAGACGATATACCTTTTAGCATACAGTAATATGTTGTCCATATGTATATAGACCTTTGCATTTTCACTATGTCATTTGTTTATTTTCATTATTTAGTTTTGTCCACATTTGTTTGGGTGTCACATTTTCTTTCACTTTGTTTCTATTTCCACACTTCACCTTGTCACATAATTTGCACCGTCACCCCATATCTCTATAGTCTCACTCTTCCCCTTTTTTCTCTCTCATCATGCTTCATCCCTATACTTCTTTTTTCACTCTTCTACTTTTCTTTTCCCACTCTTTTATTTGTCTCTTCCTATCACTTTTCACGTTCACCACACACATATTTAATCCTTCTCTTCTCATTCACATCGACTCCTTTGGTCTTATACATTCAACTGATCTACTTAGTCACTAGCCCAGGTCTATACTCATTTGTATATATACATTATCATCCTTCTGTTTTTATGGACCCTGTAAATATACACAGCACATCACATTAATGCTTTTATATCCCGCGTCACCATGGTTACCAGACGCAATCATAGTTACAATAGATTACATACACCACGTCATCATGCACGTCCCTCACGCATGCGCGGTCACTCTCACCGGTCCATACAGCATCTGAGCATGGATCAATCGGGCACACCTGCACTGGGTAAGTGATTTCCTTGTTTTATGCCTTCAATAAACTCAGAGTTTATGCTTGTATATATCTTGATAAAGACCTCCTAGGTCAAAACATTGATCGTTTAAATAAAACACGAATACAACTTTGAAAAATCCATTGAGTGCTCTCTCTTCGTTCATTTCTAATATATATATATATATATATATATATATATATATATATATATATACATACATACACTCACACACACCAAAAAAATTGTGGTTGGGAAAAAAGTGTGGATGAAAACCCCTTCCACCTGAAGTAAGTGGATAGTAAAAGCATTGCTAAGCACAAATGCACACACCAGCCAAGCCATAAGACGTGCTTTTCCCACAGAAATCTCACTTTAACAGTGCACTCACTACTTAAAGGGATTCTGGGTAGGCGAATGCAAGTAAGCACAACAAAGAACCACATTTTTGCCTCATAATTCAGCTTTATACTTGGATTATTTGGAGTATGTGTCTGCTGTATACAACAGCTTTGAAACAACTCAGGAAGAGGAGCAAAGCCAGTGAACCACTCCTGGACAGCTGTTTCATTCTTAATGCAACTCATCAGCATCTATGTATAAAGTGGAATTATGAGGCAAAAATGTGGGTTCTTTGTTGTGCTCATTTGCATATGCCTATGAATGTTATAAAGGCAGTGTGTGATAATTTGCAGGATGATCTAAAATAAATTTACTATACCATCTCCCATTCTACATTCATACTTTGAGCAGGTTCAAATAAAATAGTTGGACAACAAAGTATTTGAAACAGCAATTCTCATTGTTATAATTCCCTATACAGTACCAAAGAAATTCTATATCAGCAAATTCATTATTGTGTAGCACTGATTACCAAACACTAAGAAAACATTGATCCCAGTATTTCTAATCATTAGTTCCTAGTTGTAGGAACATCTAAACATCTAGTTGTAACATTTTGCTGTAGATGTATAGATAATCATCTTACATATTAGAGATATATTACTAAATACAGTACTGCCTGTCTGGGATTGATGGGAGTCACATTCCTGAGCAGCAGCAACAGCTTCATTAATTATGTTACTTGTTTCTCTGTACTAAAATGCCAGGGAACGTAATAGTGGCACTTGCAAATAAGAGCCCCTTCCCCATGTTTGTCCTAGGGGTGTTGGTGTGTGTGTCAGTGTGCATTTGTGCAGGTGTGTGTGTCTGGGTATATGTGTGTGCCCTTAACCTAGTTTTAAAACGTCATGTAAACTAAAAGATAATTTTAAAGCATATATGAACATAATATCACTGTGCGCTCAAGAAATCTATAAACCAACAGCCATTTTACCTTTGGTCTTATGGTTTATGTTGGTCTCCAAGGCACTCAATCTACCCCATGGCTATAATCCACAAGACAAAGGAGATAGCTTCAACCAGGAGACATTTTTTATGTTTTATTCCTGTATATTAGAATATTGGAATGGCACACTTCGTAAAGCTTGGTGGCATGACACATTGCACATTTTATACAAGTAATGATACCTAACATGGGTGTAATTTCCCTTTAATAATACATAGGACCATGAACCTTTCCATTATTTTTGAAAAATATCTGGAATGGACTTGAAGTGACCTATAGAACATTACTGTGAAATATTTCAATTAGCTATTGCTTTACTATTTAGGCATTATTTTAATAGAATAAACACTGCCATTTTAGTGATATATTTAGTTCTCCTATGACCTTTTTTAGCGTGTGCTTAAGTAACTGCATCTTATATTAAGCTTAAAAAGTAAATCAATAGCATTGTTTTATTGCAATTTATAGTGCAACCTCAATACCTATTAGCATTTTGGACTGAGGAACTATCTGTAATAATTTAAGGTAAGCAATGTTAGTGACAGCCACATATTGCTGATCCAAGACCTTGAATATTTATATGACAAATTACATCAAAATTCCGGCTTCTGCCCAGGTTTAGTACCTGTGGAACTGAATGTATAATCCCTTCCATTTCACTCATGGAAATCACAGTTTTGATTTCACCTACAATTTGTTATTATATCACTGTTCCACTTGAGATGCTATGATTTAAAGGAATATAAATTACTTTTTAAAAGACGTTTCTGTTTATGTTCATCAATCATGTTTGATCTGCTGTTCCATTAAACAAGAAAAAATGTAAATGTAAAGTTCAGATTTTATCTAATTTTAGTGTATAAAATACAACGATCACTTTGTGTAATATATACCATGAAGAGCTATTATTTTGGATATGTAACGCATAATTAATTTGAATATGTATCACATAAGTAATTTCAGTGGTATGTAAAATATTTATCTGTGTTTTCTGGTTTTAACCAAATTTTAATCCTATTTTAATTTTAAGCAGGAATAAAGCAGTGTAAATTGTATGACTGTCGATTTGACTATTGTTGAAAGAAGGATCTTTAAATTATTAATGCTTAAAATGATAAGAAAATAACTTGCTGGAATTGATGATCAATGACATGTACGATTTTGTATGCAATGTCAATATAACATTCACAAATTAACACATTTGTGATATTTTCATTTATTTACATTGCTCAGAGAATAAAAAAAAATGCATAACGGATATTGATGTGATAATAAATATTTTTCATGAAATAAACTGTTCGGAAGACAACTTCAGAAAGAGTTATATGGTCTTGAATGAATATTAACATGCATAGAATATTATTTTCCTGCATAGAAATATGGTGTTATGGACATTATAAATGTCTGATATTGAATCATTCAGTGCTCAAATAATTACAAAGCATTTACAATGGCACAGTCTACATTCTTCTGGTTTTATATTCAGGCCGAGCACACTCTAAACCTTTTATTTTCAAACTGCTGGCCTAATAAAACCTTGTTTGCCTCTGATGCTAAGCTGTGTAAAATTTAAACCTGCAGCAACTATATTTACATTTTTCACAACATATTTTTAATTTGAATAAGTCACACAAAATAAATGTAATACAGAGGTGTGCAAGATTACTGGGATAATAGGGTGAAGTTTATTGTACTCCCAAATATGCTCACATCTAATTTGCTAATTAAAAGTTAATCATGGCACTGGTTTTAACAAAATTCAGGACCTAACCCATCTGGCAGAAGCACCTCTAAAAAATATTGTTCACTTGCTTTTTGAAAGTGAATCACGATGTTAACTATTTGCCCATGAGCAGCACAACCATACACGATTGCCAGGGTTTGCACCCATACACTGCAATTGTGTATACATGATCACAACCATAGCAAATAAAATGTGTTCATTGCAAACAAATTAAATTTTCAATAATTGTGCTGATAACAGAGACAGCAAAACATTTTTATGTGCCAGCTCTGCTGAGCTCCCCCGCATCCCTGCCATGCAGCATGGGCCATTAGGGAGATAAAGAGATCTTGTATAATACCACCACAAAATGTGCTGCGCTTACAATATCCTTCAAACAGAAATAATGTTTAAACTGAAAATACTTCTGTAAATCTGCTAAAGAAAAAAAAAGAACATTGTGCAGAAAATCTACATATTTTTTAAATATGAAAAATCACCCCAAACTCACATTAAAGCTGAGTCTAAACAGTTGGCTCTGGGTTTGCAGGCTATAAAGGAAAAATTAGATCCCACTGATTAAGAAAAATCTTCTTTCTGGAAGCAACACCTCCGTATGCAGAAAAGAGGGAATAACGCAATATTGTCACATCACAATTTTTTAAAAATGTATTAAAACAAAATTTAAACTCTTACATTAAAAGAATGTGAGTTACTGTGCACAAAAACATTCACAGGCTGCACAAGAAACATCAAATAATAGCCTGTCCTCAGTGTTGGAAAAGCCTCTGTCTGCCAATCACCTCCGGACTTAATGCTTGTTTTTGGCTCCTCCCACTACGTTGGCCACTTCGTGAAGCATTTCACTTTAAACTCACATGAGAAACATGACACTAAAAGGGAATCCCTAGGGATGAAAAAGACAATCTTAAGAAAAGTAGGGACAAATAATATAAAGGAGAGGAATGTAGAATAATAATGAAAAGCTAGGTAATGAGAATTACCGGATTCCTATCCTGAAATAAGGAAAGATCCTGTTATAAAATGAGAACAAACGAGAAAAGAAAAAGTAAATGTTGCACCCTCAACTATAAAAAGTATGGTTTTACAAGATAACAAAAAAGATGAGGCTGGTTATTACAAAGAAGAAAACAGAGGCAAGAAATAAATGAAAAAGTAATTTTTTTATTTGTCAAAAAAACAACTGACTAAAGTAAATGTTAGTCTACTTAGTAATAAACTTACATTTTGCCCTACTTCGAATCTAGATCTAGTTTTTGTCATATTTGTAATAAAAATTAACAACAGAGTTTCTGCACTATTTTTTTCTTTTTCTTTTGCAGGTTCACAAAACTTACTCTTATTTATACAATATTTCTGTATGAAGGATATTGTGAGCACAGCACAAATTGTGGTGGTATTATACAAGTCTTTTTTGTTAAACAAGTGGTATATTGTACATGCAGCTACTATTTATGTTGATAGTATAATTTGAAAGGAAGCTTACTAGTGATGTCGCAAACCCAAAATTTTCCGTTCGCGAAAGGCGAACGCGAACTTCCGCAAATGTTCGCGAACCGGCGAACCGGGCGAACCGCCATAGACTTCAATGGGCAGGCGAATTTTAAAACACACAGGGACTCTTTCTGGCCACAATAGTGATGGAAAAGTTGTTTCAAGGGGACTAACACCTGGACTGTGGCATGTCGGAGGGGGATCCATGGCAAAACTCCCATGGAAAATTACACAGTTGATGCAGAGTCTGGTCTTAATCCACAAAGGGCATAAATCACCTAACATTCCTAAATTACAATGGATATGGATTGACACCTGACATATGACATATTGACACCTTGACATATGGATTGACACCTGTCCTCAGAGATCCTGATACACGCTGACACAGAGCAGAATAGGGACTGTTCCCCCTACATAGGGTCACTTGGCAGATATGGATTGACACCTATCCTCAGGATCACTGATACACACTGACACAGAGCAGAATAGAGACTGTTCCTCCTACATAGGGTCACTTGGCAGATATGGATTGATACCTGTCCCCAGAGACCATGATACACACTGACACAGAGCAGAATAGAGACTGTTTCCCCTACATAGGGTCACTTGGCAGATATGGATTGACACCTGTCCTAAGGATCCCTGATACACAATGACACAGAGCAGAATAGGGACTGTTCATCCTACATAGGGTCACTTGGCAGATATGGATTGACACCTGTCCTAAGGATCCCTGATACACAATGACACAGAGCAGAATAGGGACTGTTCATCCTACATAGGGTCACTTGGCAGATATGGATTGACACCTGTCCACAGAGATCATGATACACACTGACACAGAACAGAATAGAGACTGTTCCCCTGCATAGGGTCACTTGGCAGATATGGATTGACACCTGTCCTCAGAGACCATGATACACACTGACACAGAGCAGAATAGAGACTGTTCCCCTACATAGGGTCACTTGGCAGATATGGATTGACACCTGTCCACAAGGACAAGCTGCAGGCTTCCCGGCAGGGCCCATACAAGGTGGTAGAGCAGGGTTGTGATACCACCTTTGTGATCAGTGCGGTCACAGGCATGGGAGGCAAGCGCATGCTCCATGTGAACATGCTCAAGCCATACCATGAGCGCACGGAAGAGGTAACCGCGATCTGTGCACCTGCCACTGAAGATTATGATAATTTGCCACTCCCAGATCTCCTAGACCAAGAGGCCCAGAGCGGAGTCCTGGGAGATGTACAGTTAGGAGAACGGTTAGACCCCCAGGAGCGAACCCAGGTCCAAAGACTAATCCAGGACAAGGGGGCCACGTTTTCCAACCTACCTGGGTACAGTCCGTTAACCACTCACAAAGTTGAAATCCTAGACCAGACCCCCCTTCGCCAAACCGCCTATCGCATTCCCGAAGCAGTTAAAGAAAATATGCGGAAATAAATTGAGGAAATTATACACTCTGACAGCCCCTGGGCCTCCCCGGTAGTACTAGTACCGAAACGGGACGGCACGACCCGTTTTTGTGTAGACTACCGGAGGCTAAACGATAAAAAAACAACCTCAGACACCTACCCTATGCCCCGGATAGACGAGCTCCTAGACAAAATGGCCAGAGGCCAGTACCTCACCACAATAGATCTGTGCAAGGGGTACTGGCAAATTCCATTAGCCGAGGACGCCATCCACAAGTCTGCATTTGTCACCTCGTTTGGCCTGTATCAGTTTAAGGTCATGCCATTCGGGATGAAGAATGCCCCGGCTAACTTTTAGAAGATGGTAGATCGGCTACTGGAGGGGTTTCAGGAGTATGCCTGTGCCTACTTGGATGATATACCCATTTTTTAGCTGCTCCTGGCCCGAACACCTGACCCACATAGGAGCCGTACTAGACCGGATTAGGGAGGCCGGACTGTCCCTAAAGCCCAGTAAGTGCCATATAGGAACGCGTAAAAACCTCCCCAAGATAGTAGTATGGGCCCCAGAGTGTGAACAGGCCTTCCAACAGCTCAAGACGGAGCTCATTAAATCACCTGTACTTTCTGCTCCTGATCCAACTAAACGCTTTCTCGTCCATACAGACGCTTCTATGTTTGGATTGGGAGCAGTACTGAGCCAAGTCGGAGCAGATGGCGGCGAGCAACCCGGGGCTTATCTAAGCTGGAAACTTTTGCCCAGGGAAGTAGATACACTGCCATTGAAAAGGAGTGCCTGGCGGTGGTGTGGGCTGCAACCTTACTTGTATGGACAACCGTTTACCTTACTCACAGATCACAACAAATTCGGGGCACTGCGCGTGCAATCTAATGTGCCACCAGATAGGAGTGGTGTGTTAAGGAGTACTATTCTTATCAGTTTAATCCCTGTTACGTCCCCTATCAGGGGACGTGTATATGGCATGGATTTTAGGAACCGGGAGATGGAAAAAGATGCTTGGTCGGTCCTCCTTCTTCAAATTTGGGGCACTGTGTGTGCAATCTAATGTGCCACCAGATAGGAGTGGCACTGTGAACTGGCACAGTATCCACTGTGAGCCTGACACACCCGCTTTGAGACAACTAACTGCTATTCAATCTATAACATTGAAAAAAGTTTTTTGGTTTTTAAATGCACGCTATTGTGACACCAGATAAGAGGCACTGTGAACTGGCAGAGTACACGCTGTAGGGCTGACACACCCGCTTTGAGACAACTAACTGCTATTCAATCTATAACAGTGAAAAAAGTTTTTTGTTTTAAATGCAAGCTATTGTGACACCAGTGAGTGAGTGGTGGCACTGGGCACGTAACAGGTGTACGCTTGAGCGACACACAGACGCTTGCAGACAACTAACTGCTATTCAATCTATAACAGTGAAAAAAGTTTTTGTTTTTAAATACAAGCTATTATGACACCAGATATGAGTGGCACTGTGAACTGGCACGTATCCACTGTGAGCCTGACACACCCGCTTTGAGACAACTAACCGCTATTCAATCTATAACAGTGAAAAAAGTTTTTTGGTTTTTAAATGCACGCTATTGTGACACCAGATAAGAGTGGCACTGTGAACTGGCACAGTATCCACTGTGAGCCTGACACACCCGGTTTGAGACAACTAACTGCTATTCAATCTATAACAGTGAAAAAAGTTTTTTGTATTTTAAATGCACGCTATTGTGACACCAGTGTGTGAGTGGTGGCACTGGGCACAGTATCCACTGTGAGTCTGACACAGACGCTGGC